AAAGATAGGACTGTAAGTGAACATGGAGAAGACGGAGGTGATGAAGATGACTGGCCAGTCAACAGCAACAACAACCAGCACCAATCACCAGCAACGGAAGAAGTCTAAAAGAGGTTGCTTCCTTGACTTAGTTAGGCAGCCAGTATCGTTTCAACTACAGGTATTCAACACGGATGAAGATGTCAAAGCCAGCCAGCCAGAATCGGAAAGGCCAGATACGCCTTCATCAATCTGAAACCAGTTTGGAAGTCTTCTGCTTCTCTCAGCCAGTACAAAGAACAAGATTCGGATTCAATTCAACACCAGTATCAAGTCGGTCCTTCTATACAGTTCAGAAACTTGCACTGCGTGTCACGAGAAGGATTTTCAGAAGCCAGTTGCATTCTTTTATCAACATCTGCCTACAATAGCTGGTTCCATACTGAAGATGAAATGGCTGGTCATCCTGAAAGAATTAGCAGCAAGAAACTCTGACGATGAGTAAATCAACCAAGAGCCGACTGCTCAACAATTATGTAGAGGAAAATGGAGATGGATCGAGGACACTTTGAGGAGGCTGTCGAATGATATCGTGCACAATGCAGGCCATTGTTCAAATGTAATCCCAATGGAAAGCGACGAGTGGGTCGTCAATGTGAGTGTGACATGGAGGAGATCGTGAGTTGGGGAGAAGGAGGTGATGAGAGATTATGGTCAGTCGTGAACCCAGCTTAACAGGACAGCACCGAATAGAAGAAAGTGAAGATGTGTTGTTGAAGCCCTATATTCCACTTGGAACCCAAGGAAATAATAATGTTATGAACAACAAGGCATCGGTGCAAGTAGCCCATATTACCTTAACGCCACAGGTCAGTTCAGTTCAGATTTGCATGAACGCCAAGACCAAAACCATGAACAAAATGAAATCAACCACCTTGATTAGAATCCGGTGATCATTAGTATTCTCACTTTCATATAATCTATAATAAAGCCTACAAGGCAAGTAGCTATTTTTATCTTCAATTTAAGCCAATGCTGTAGGTAGGGTATTTCAACACGCTATTCAATAAATATTTCACTGCACGTTCATTTTTCAAGTAATAATATTTAAAAAATGATACTTTTTGTTGTTGTTGCTGCTGCTATTGTTTTAATCAGAATATTTTTCTAATTCTGTTTCATACAAATTAGTCGTATGTTTTTTTAAAAATTCAATTCAGTATTCGTTTATATTATAAAAACGAAAGATGGAGAGAAATTTCTGTCAACTTTTACTTATTAGGTGAATGTTTTTTTGTTGTTGAAAAAATAAAAACGTTTTCTGACACATAAACGCACTCAGAGATATTTTCACTGGGGTATTAATAACTTTTTATTTCTATTTTTGGCGAAATCATTTACATATTCAGAAATAAGTGAAGTGAAACAGCCAAAGGATTGAATTGAATTATCAGCTGAGAAAGTTGTGTATAAGTTATTGATTTTATCCCTTTGCGTTACGAGTGGAACACGTAGGGCGTCAGATGAGAGCTTGGAACTTTCAGTTGCTAGTCCCCTACCCAACCTTTTAGACATATAAGTTGCTAAGGGAAGTAAAGGTGTATGTACGCCGACCGAGGGTCGAAATCCGGACCATGTGTGGCATATGGTTGGCGAGCATTTTACCGCTGAATCACCGATGGACTGTACAAAGGTGCAGTAACTCAAATCGCCATATTTCATGAAAGTATAGATAAAGTTTGAGAAGAGAAGTACAATGAAACGTTAACTGATGAAAATGGACGCAAGGAGGAATAATTCGATGACGACTGAGGAGTATATTCAGAATCTTAGGGGTCAAACTGAGTAATGAATACATCTGCGCCAGTGAGAACAATGTTGGCCAGTGTCACAAATAGTCTCCGACCATTAATTCTTGGTATCCCGGGCAGTCTACATCTCTGTGCATAGCTGAAACTAACAGACGAAAAGTTTATGGACTGATGTGTCTGTCTTTCTGACCTCCGTCAGCTCCATTTCAAACTAGTGGCTTCACATGCGTATTACATGTCCTGGCCATCTCGATCGATACAGCTTCACAACCTCACCAATTGAATTGTCCCCCCATACCTAATACTTCACTTCTAATCTCAAAATTATTATTATTTTATTCTTCTTTCCTGGGAATCCCAGGGAAATGTGGGGATAGAGGAGCACATCTCTGTTTCAATGTATGCTCTGCTGTCTCTTTTTAGTTAGCCCTAAGAATGCACATTAGCTAGCGGTTTTTCTTCCCTTGATCTCCTTCATGCCACCCTCAAACACCCAACTCGCCGTTTTCCTTTTAAATCGCACTCGAGGGCTTGATGGGTTGTGTCACTCAACGGTCTTCTCTGCATATGTCCAATCTATCTCCATTTCCGCTGGCATGTTTGTTGCTTAGAAGGTTGTTAGCTGGTTTGTTCGCTAGAGTGCTTTGTTGTTTATTCTTTCTGTTTCTAGCCACCTGATCTTCAGTAATTAGCGAATGTGGCAGGTGTTCATGAAGATCTGCAGCAGGTGTTTCTCATGCTTTTGTTGATGCTCGTGGCGAATCTTTTAACACTATAGAAGCACTGACTTCAATTTAGTGCTCAAAGTTGGGATTTTGTTCGTTTTGTTTACTGAGTGCTGTTGACATGCACACCTATCTCTTAGGGACATTGCGATGTGGCCTGAGTTCGATTCCCAGTGGGGTAGTGAGCGCTCACTTTTAAAGATTCCTATACCAGGATGGAATAACTATCCATTACTTCTTGATTTCTAATGATTCTATTTCAATGATCCTTTATCATTCAAAGTGAGTTAAAATCCTTCTCTACTGAACAACCCGAATAGGATTAGGATTACAGAAAAGGCCGAGATAAAGTATTCAAGTCAGGAATCAATGTTCAGAGGCTTTCAGTAATTTGTCTCGAAACTCACAACACAATGTGCTTTGTTTTAAGTTATTTTGAAACCATAAGATGTGACACTTATAGAATTCACTAATTCAGAAGAATGACTGACTTTATGATAAATGTAGCCGAATGATGACAGTGGAGAGTAACCTCTCCATTCGTTTGTGTGAATGGTAGTGCCTGTGAAGCCTAGGTGTATTAGTATTGAAACATAGATACTTCTGTTTTGAAGGCCTTCTACTAACCCTTCTCGAAGATTGGTATAGTACAGTTCCAGCACCCAAACATGGTTAGCTCTTTCTCTACCACGATTCATTTGTCGCTTAATTAGTACTGGTTCATCAGTATCAATGACGATACCAATTCCTCCAAATATCCAAGTAATTCCATTGATCTTTTGTGAGGCCATATCACAACAATGCTGATACCAACCACTACACTGTTGACATTTCAATATTCTCTGTTTCGTCAGCTGTAGCAGATACTGGTAGTCTCAGTAGCCAATTGTGACACATACACAATATTTTAGTAAGGCAGAGTTTCGATTTCGAGAAGAAGGTATCTAAAACACCCCCATAATATACAACGCACCAAATGTCACAGACTTCCTGATATAACATTGATTGCATCTGAATACATAACCCTCGAAAGACTGGCAATACTTCTGAAAAGTCATTATCCTTCCAGATATTCAGGTTTTAGTCCTTCTTATCAATCCATTTTCCACACAGAAGTAAAAAAACAAATCTAGTCGAACAGCATTGGTTGTAATGGTGGGCGATCTGATTGGTTGGTTCAAGGTCATTTGGCTGTGGCATCTATTCTTTACTCTTGCCATGACCAGTTCAATTTGTAATCCGTAGTGTTGGTGCTTACTAAATTCTAACAGTCAAGTTTTCAATGTGATTACTAATCAAAGAGAGACTTATTATCACAGTGTACCTGTTCAGTAATTGTAAGATGGTTGGAGGTGATCAGCAGGAAGCCCTCGAGCCTAGATTTCGTGCTTGTTGGCACTCATCGGCAAGATGTATATTCGCAGCCTCGAAGGAATTGTCCTCCTCCCTGAGGTTTTCAGTCAGAGACGTCATCACTGGGATATTCGGACGGATGATGGGATTTTCACTGGGTAGTAACCAGTATAATATGTCAATTCCTAAGCGTTTGTAACAAATGGTCTCCGGATTAGGAGGAGACTCGACATCGTGGTACACTTGAATTCTTTGAATGCGGCGGTTACTTTATCTGCTACTAATATGTAACAGTTAAAGGTTAATTAAAACAAAATAGGAGGTGTTTAACACAGTTTAGATTTTCCCGTTGATTGAGTGAACCTAAATGTTTGGCCTCAGGTTGACAAGTCGGGTCCTTGTGTTAATGCTTCGGGGATGTCTGATTACTTAACCTGAAGTGATTTGGTGGATGGTGACTAGCAGTGGAATCCAAGATGCACATTTCGTTTCACTTTGGACTAACTTGTCGTCTGGATGTACTTCCATTCCCTAGTGAATGACGGATGGTGCTCACTGCACTGAGGCTCGAACCCAGTACTCATCGTTTCAACAGTTCAGTCCAGTCAGTCAACGGGAATATACAAAATGAATTCAATAATAATTAATAACCACTGCAGAAGTGGCGGTGGCTGTCGTGGCCCAAGCGGTCTAGTGGAAAACATACTTTGCAGCTTGAAACGATGGGTACTAGATTCGGGTTTCAGTGCGGGGAACACCATCATTCCCTCACTCACTCACTAACTGGAGATTGCAAGTACATCCAGATGACGAGTCAGTTGCAAATAGGACGAAATGCGCATATTGGATTCCACTACTGCTAGTCACCATTCACCAAATTATTTCAAAATAAAAAAATACACTAAAACATTACTGTACGACTAAATAAAAAATTGGACAGTTGGAATGAAATGAAAAAAATCTCCATCTTTTTACTATTTTTAGATGGGAATGTATTGATCGCCATCATTGCAAACTGTCTAAATCAATGTGACATTATAAAAATAGTTAAGGAGAAAATATGTAGGAATTCCGTGATGACGATGATAATAATAATAATAATGATAATAAAAATGAATATGATCCAACTTACTTCTTTCAAGACATTATTAGTATTATTATTGTTATTCTTTAGTGTTTCGTCTGGAATTTGTTTCTTGTCTGCTAAACAATAATTTGAATAATTGAATGAACAGTACAGAATTGACTGAATACTTACCTGCTGCAGTGTCTAATTTTTTCATTTCTACATCTGTACTTAAAGTTATATCATCGACAACTGTATGTGTATTGTTGGATTCTTCACCATCATTACAATTGTTGCAATAATTACTAGTATTGTCATTATTATTAAGCGTGTTTTCTGAACTCGCTGACTGACATCGAGATGAAACAGCCGATGAGGAGGAACTTGGTGGTGGTGGTGGTGGCGGTGGTGGTGCTGTAAGCAGGATACCATGATTTTCAGAGAGTTCACGTTCATCGGATGTGATAGCTAAAATGAAAGTAACACGTAAATAAATGCTTTTTAGTCGACAGCTTATATTAATGTATACAGTATAGACTTTGAGAAGGCCTTCGACAGCGTTGACCGCGAAGTAATTTGGAAACTACTCGAGTACTACGGCGTAACCCAAATATTCATCAACCTTATTCAACAGCTGCACAACAACGGCACATGTCAAGTGATCCACAACGGAAAAATCAGCGAAGCGTTTGGAGTAAACACAGGAGTCAGACAAGGGTGCTTATTATCACCAATGATATTCCTTATTGTGGTGGACTGGATTATGCGTCAGACAGTGGGAAACGAGAAGACAGGGATATCATGGACAGACGTGAAGAACCTAGAAGACAGGGATTTCGCAGATAATTTATGTCTGGTGTCACAAAAAATCGAAGACTTACAAGCGAGAACCGACAAACTGGTCGAAGAAGCAGCAAAGACAGGACTGCAGGTGAACATAGACAAGACGGAGATTATGAAAATAACCAACCAACAACAACAACAGCAGCAGTAACATCCAACGCCAATCACCATCAACGAGAGGGATTGGAAAGAGGTTACTTCATTCACTTATCTAGGGAGCATTGTCTCAACTACAGGAGGAACGGAGAGACGAGGATGTCAAATCGAGAATCGGGAAGGCGAGAAACACATTCATCAACCTGAAACCAATCTGGAAATCTTCGTCACTCAACTCAGCATCAACAACAAAATTCGGATTTTCAATATAAACGTCTAGTCAGTTTTGCTATATGGATCAGAAACTTGGCCAGTGTGTCACAAAGAATATTTCCAACAGCCTGTTGCAGACCTTTATCAACAGCTGTCTTCGTTCTATACTGAAGATTAGATGGCCGGAAAGAATCACCAACAAGAAACTGTGCGAACAAACAAAACAAGAACCAATCGCTCAACAAATATGCAGGAGAAAGTGGAGATGGATTGGACACTCGCTGAGGAGGCCACTGGGTGACATCGCGCATCAGGCCAACGCTCGATTGAAACTCAGAAGGGAAGCGGCGAGTGGGACGTCCAAGGGTGACATGGAGGAGATCGTGTGAAGAGGAACTGAAACAGAATGGATTAACATGGATGCAAGTGAAAAGTACAGCAGAGGACAGAAGCAAGTGGAGGCGTGTAGTTGAAGCCTTATGTTCCACTAGGAACCCAAGGGAACAATAATAATAATAATAGACATACGTATTGATTACTGACAGACAGTTCACGCGTCCGCTACAAGATATATAAATAAACCCTATCCAGTTACTAATGAAAACAAAACACGTATTCTGACGAAGGGTCTCTTTTCTGCGGCGAATTCATTTTCCCTTTTAGAGCTGTACAATCACAGTTATATAAAACTCTTTTTCTTGAAAACGGTTAGCAACAAAGGTGGTGAGATTTCATAAATATAGGTGTAAATGTTAGTCAGTGCAAAAAAAACTGCTGCAGCCTTAGCTATTCACTTAGAAAAATTGGAGCTATGCATACAAAAGAGAATTATTCAATCGTTTCTACTATCATGGTAACAACTGTATTCATTTCTACTGACTTGATTTTATTATGTAACACACTAATTCAACTTCTTTTATGCATTGGCTAATATTAACAGTTACGTTCATGACATATTCTATCTCTCTATATACTGAGTGGAACATAATGCTTCAAGTTAGAACGTTGAAGTTTCGGTAACAGTGGTTTTATTTTTATGGGATGGGGTTGATAGTCTCACTCTCAGTCTTCCCTCTTTACCACTTTTATTACCGACTTAGCGGGGTTTAGGAGTGTGTCGGAAGCGGATAGAATCCCGAACCACGTGTGGCGTGGTTGGTCAATGTCCCACCGATGAACCACCGAAGCATTCTGCTATTTTATTTGAGGAATGCAAAAGTATTTAGTAATTCCCAAATGGTGATTTATGCATTTAGACAAAACAGTGAATTGAGCAAAGAAACGTGCGTTCCTTTTCAATTAGTTCCTCATCATCAAGTTTACACTAATACATATAATTTTTTACATTACCAATCAAGTGGTTATTGTAGTTAATCAGATTTAAGTATACTTTGGCGGAGGAAATCAACAGGTTAAAGGTCATCAAAGCAATTGACTAATAGATGTTAGTAACAAGATATCTAAGTTTTAAAGGAAGGAGGGATGAAAATTAGTTACGGAATTCAAGATAAGTTAATTCCTAGGCGTTAGCAACAAGTTATTACATAATCAAAAAATTTGTAAAATAATGATGACTAAGAAGAATAGGATCTCACTACAACTTCTGACAAGGGCCTTGAAAAGGACTTTAATGCAGGTAAGTTATGCTGTATATTCAGTAAACAACCAACAGTGAGTTCAAGAAATGAAGACAAACTACCTTGTTTCGTCCCTTCCATGTGTATTTACCAGTTTAACTGCTCGTGTGGAGCTAGTTACACTGGAAGTACGATGGAACGAGTTCTCCGTCGAATTTCTGAACACCTCTCATCTTGATTTGGCAGAGGTCAGAATAAAGCTGCTATACGCAGCTTAATAATAGCTCATCTCATCGATACTCTCTGGACATAAACTTGACTCTAACAAAGCTTTTAAAGTTATTTATCGTATATCACCAAACCTCTCGCATCGTCTACGAGTACGACTTTTACTTACAACAGAGGCAATCGGAATCCCATCTGAACAAGCCAAATCAGTGTGCTCACAAGAAGTTTGTACAGGCCCTTTCTCTGCCATGACCAACTACATAATAGGTATTAAGTTCTTAAAAAAGAATTTTCCTCCTCTCTCCTTGTAACTATCTTTTGGCTCTGTAATTTTTACAATTCTAGCTAATTCTATTAACTTATCTGTATTTTGAGTAATTCTTATGGATCATCCTATTCTTCTTATTAAATTCCTGATTACATAATGACTTGTTGCTAACACCTAAGAATTAACTTATCTTGAATTCACCACTCCTTCAAAACTTAGATGTCTTGTTACGAACACCTGTTTTGATGACTTTTAACGTCTTAATTTCACCCGCCTAGGTATACCTAAAACTGGATGATAAAAATAACCACTTGATTGGTAAGGTTTCGATGTAAAAAAACTATATATTATTGTAGATAGAGCCGATGAGGAGGAACTAATTGAAAAGGAATGCATGTTTCTTCGCTCAGTCTGTTGTCTTTCCAAAAGATTCTAATAATTATGCTCTATCATTAGGAATGCAGCCATGTTACACAAGAAAATTTGTAATTATTAATATATGTCACCTGTACAGCTAATTAATTCACTAGTAACTTTTATATTTTTAGAAGCACATAAGACTATTTATATCTTTTATTGTTCCGCATTGTCTATATTGGTCTGTAGCTGGTTATAGCTCAGAAATTGCATGAAACTGTAGTTAAATAAGTTTAACTAAGAAAGTATAGTTTTCTGCCAGGTTTAGTTTGCATTTCCCCCATTTAATTGATTATTTTGCATCGAATGATCAGTATCTGTTGGGTGTATCGGCTCCTAGTATGGATGCGCAAGTGGACCTAGTGGTCTAGTAGATATGTGCTCTGGTGTTTTGAAACGATGGGTACAGGATTCAAGTCTCACTGGGAACGCCATCATTCGGTGAAGGAATGTAGGCGGATCCAGACGATGAGTTCTAAGTGGGATGAAATCCGCCTGGTAGATTCCACTGATAGTTACTATCAACCCCAAAAAATATGGTGTGTGTTGGAACACTGTTAAACTTACACTCTGAACAGTATTAATGAAGTAACTATCTTTAAATTAAACAGCACAACTTCGTTGTTTTAATTTATCACGTATTTTGAACAGAATATAGACAAAAATAATGATTCTAAGGTCGAATGATTACTCTGTCTGATTTAATTACCGCTCCGCTTTTAAAGTTATTGAATTTCTAAGAAGACATAAGGTACAGTGAATTGACACTATGGAGAAACTGATATGATGTGTCTTGCTATCACGATACAACTTAATTTCGTATTAAATGATAGGGAATAATGACTTTCAAATAGGTTTCGTGTTTGGTGGTAGTGTGGATTTGAATCTTTGACCGGAGACTGGTTTCTTCGAGTTGGTGGATTACCCATGCTGACAAGTGTCAGTAGGCACAAAATCCAGGTCGAGAGCTTCATATCATCTGCTTTCAACTAACTTACATCAAAGGTATGTACTTTTACAGTACAGAACAGAAAGGAGTACTTGAACAAGAAAAACTGAGTATTTACATATTTTGACTGATTACAAATCAAATAATTTGAAATTGGTTTTAAAAACATTTGTTTCCCGAATTTTGAAGAATTAAACCAGGTCAATTAGAGATTTCTTAAAAACAAGAATGCAGTGTGTAACTCTACCGAACCCTGAGCGAATAAATACTGTTTAATGCTAAGCAGTGTAAAACTAACTCTAAAGTTTAAACAATTCTTAAGTTGGTACTAAATTGTTACATGAATATTACTGATGAAAGGTTACTGAAAGGGACATGAGGCATGTGACTTCAGCTGTACTTTACCAGGTAAATTTTGCACTCGTAATACTTAGCATATATTTCATACGATTGAAATGTGTTACTTATGACTCTGAAGGGCATAAAATAGCACCACACCGGTCGGATCACGACCACACCGCTCCACAAAGAAAAAATAGAAGCCACGTCCTGAATGAGCACAGAGGACCAATTTACTATTATGTAGTCTGAAGCCTCGTTGGTCATTGGAATTAACCAAATAAATCGCTGGACCAACTAAAGACGACCACTCATGCAGTAATTCACTGTAGACTGCGAATACTAGTCAGCGTCATCGCTGGTTAGGCATTTATCCTCATACCCGACCTTCTGAACCTCACTGATCAGGACTTCCCACTTGACCCCAGGTACCTACCTAACTGAATAGTGCCAGTTACTAGTGAGCATCAGACTGACATTCAAGTGTTGGTTTGCATGGCACAGAAGGTCGGGTGTGAGAACAAATACTAGCCAGCAACAACGCTGACTAGTGCAAGTCGCGCTACATCGTGAAGTGGCAGATTTTGGAATTCATGCGCTATCCATTGGACCGGTTCCAGTGATTTCATGGTCGAAAAGCTCGCCTTGTAACCGGAAGGTGCTGGGTTTAAACTCTGCCAATGTGGTGGGTGTGTAATGCTGAAAAGCCCCAAACCTGGCTAGCAAAATAACTTCCCAGCACCCTCAGGTTTTCCAACGCTTCTCTAACCTATGTCAGCTCATGATGAAATCGCGTAACCAACCAAATCAAATTCCTGCAAATCAACACCTGAACATGGAACGCAATCACCGAGCTTTTTTCCAGGTGATTTCACTTATCAGAGTTAAATATTCTAGGTCTAGCTAAACTTTTATGTTCGAGTAATGTAACTGACCCCAATCTACTAGTTTGACTAATGTAATTGACCTCACAGTCATTGCATGGTGTTTAGTAACTTATATTATTTTTCTAAATCTGATCCAACGTGTCTTCAGGCCGAAAAAGTTTTATCTGTGAGAGTGTTGGTTGTTTGAATTAAATCCCAATCTAATTCCAGCCTCATTGAGAACCTAAGTAAGGCTTCTGATGTTCCTTCTTTATATGGCAGTACTACAGAGGCTTTGAATTCTATGTCATTTATATGATTTCCACTGCTAATCTTATTTTTTCTATGCGTCTTCATACATTTCTGAATAAATTCTGGTGTGTAGTTATTCACTAGTAATATTTTCTTTTTGTGTTTGGTTTCATTATTTAAATCTTCTGGCTTACTAGTCAGTCTCCTGGTCTGATTTTACAGACATTTCAATAAAGAAAGATAGACCAGATTTACAGTATAAATTGGCATCATTTTACTTATGAAATATGCACATAGGACAAATCGTGTAGCCGTGTGACTAAACCGATATGATTATGAGTAATAAATCATGCTCGAAAACTTGTCATCCAGTTTTTAATACTGCGTCATCACTGTATGATATTTGAAATAAACTTATGTTAAATGGAATTGTATTCTACTACACGCAGTACCCAAGTTCTACACTTACTTATTTAATTGAATTTTAGATTTTCCCGTCGATTGATTGGACCGAAGTGCTCGGTCTCAGGTTGACATGTCGGCTTCTTGTGCAGATGATTGGACGATGTCTGCGCATATAAGTAAGAGTTAATTGGTGGATTGTGACTCGCAGTGGCGTTCGAAATTATGGGCACTGACTTCGAGCCTCGGTGGGAACATCATCACTCACTGGGAAATGCAGGTACATCCAGCTGACGACTCCCGAATAGGATGAAATGCGCATCCTGGATTCCAATGCTAGTCACCGTCCACCAATTAAATTTTACACTGACTGTTGCGTGTGTATGTGTCATTCGAGATATAGTTGGGCTGTTTCAAACAGTATGAATTCTGACAGAATTTAAAGTTGTTTAACACTGTCAATAGTATTCACATAATGGTTTGTATATTATCTATGACTTTATTTATGGATAAACTCAGCTTACTACTTATAAGTAGCCAGAGGGTGAATGACAGTTTTTAATAGAAGAACAGATGACATGTCGACAATGGAAACGTTGTCACTCCCTTGGGGAACAGACACGTCAACGTGATAAGCCCCAAATAGGACGAAATGACCGTAGTAGATTCCACTAATGGCCACCTGCAACAGAAGTAACACTTAATTATAACATATGGAATCTATTACTTTATTGACTCATTTAAAACCACTCATGGCATCTCTCTGACTATCCGGGAATTAACAGTACTTATTCAACTATAATCATTGTCATTTGTGCATTTTACTCAAGAAAGTTTTGATAATTCCAGAGAGGCCAATACACTGGACAGTAATAACAAGATAAAGAACTGGGCTGAGATACACTTCCTTGAAGATATGTGAGGAAGTTGGAAAATGATTAAGGTTGACTCTAGTACCGCATAACAGAATGTCACTTATCGAGTACATTTTCATAATTTTTCAAAATGCAAAGTCTGTCTTCAGCTAAATTCGAACTACTGAGTGAGAGAAACATTCCGTCACATCAAGATGCATCTTCACAGTAGATGAACAAAGAAATTTCAGCATATCCCTGGGTTTAAATTTCAAATTGAATTATCAATTTAAATAAAATACATTTTAGAAAATAGAAGAGTTTATGCTCCACCTGGTTCCAGCTTCCAATTTTTCATAATTCAATTATTTCCGGTTGGAGTATATAAATATATATAAGACTTGAATATACTACGGGCACTACAGATTTGATGTTTTCTCTAGGGGGACCTGACAATTTTAAGTTTCGTGATCTGTCTGTTCTGCATGATTTCCTGTGAACATATTTCTACATTGTCCCAATTTTTATGTCCAGAAAGTCTTCTCTAGTCTGGTCTAGACTGCAAGTTGACAAGTGCTCAGTCAACCACATTTATGTATATATGTATATGTCATGTCTGATTATTTCTTAAGTATATAAACTGGACAAAATTAATTTTCTAAATTCTACCAGGAAGGCGTGCAAAAGTCACAAGGAGAAAATCCTCATCTAATTCTCCATACTTCATTAGATACGACATTTGCACAACCTAACAAATAAGTATAAGTATAAGCAAGTTATTTGACAGACAAACGCTCCAGACATAGACTATTTTTAGCCTTTTTGCTAATTCTTGTCTGAAAATTACTGGTAATAGACACATAGTCGTTAAAAGAATATCGCTAAAAGTTGATTCGTTATCTAAACTACTGTTTGTTTGTTGTCCTGTTGTTTTTTTACAAAATTTACACATATAAATATTGTGCTGTAGTTTTAGTTGAATTATTTAAACAGACGAGAAGTTTAACATATTTAAATATTAAACAAAATGACTAATTAAAACAAATGTTCACCTTTCAACTCACCTGATTGGTCTAAATGAATTAAACACTGCAAATTTCGAATCACAGTGCATCTGTACACGATTGAACTATCCGCTGAAGTTGTATCATTCTCTTGAAAACTTTTAACTATAAATAATAATATGATTGAAAATTTATGAGCAACAGTAACATACAGAAATGACAACATGGATTTCCAGATAACCATAATTTTTCAAGTTTATGCAAATACTTTAAATGTCCCACTTCATCAATATTCGCTATTTGATTATTACGTACATAGAGTTCGCATAAATTGAAACAGTTAACAAATGGTTCAAGAGTGGTTAAATTATTTGCACTGTAATAATAAACTATTTTAAATTATCATCAATGATTACCTCATGTTAACTACTTTTAGATTTGGCATTGATTTTACCATGGAAATATCTTTCAGTTTTAAACCCCTAAAAGGTAGAACAAAAAATGATCAATGTGCACCTACCACAGATTAAGTTTCGTAATGAATTGCAAATTCTCTCCCCGGGAACGCAGCATAATTAGATTGCATGATAGACTGCTGTCATCACTTTTTGTCTCATCGGTCACAGTGTCTGTGGTGGTCTCCATTCCTGGCATTGAATTTTTGGGAGGGTTCAAAGTTTTGCTGACGGATATGTAAAAGGTTACTATAAAAGAAGGGAAATATAAAATTTAGCACATATGAATGGAAAAGACACTAATCTTTTCGCTTCCTTAAGACAAACAGTAGCGATTTTTAAAAATAAGCATATAGCTCTGAGGAAGCAGTAGCCTTAAGATTCAAGTTTTGTTAGAAGGAAAACAGCTTAGTGGGATGCGGAAACGTTTAGCTGATGAGCTGCGGGTAACATGAAGCGGAAATTTTCCACCTCCCTGTTCTACAAAATCAAGTTAGTATTGGCTTGAAAATTCAGATTTCATAAACCTGATATAATGATGCTGCAAAATGATGGAATACAATAAAAATTTCAAGCGTCGAGTTGTATGGATACGACCGATTTCTATGCAGACACAATCATGAAATCACAGGAGTTAGAGAGGCTATGAAGATCAGAACTACTCGACGGCTATCTCACCCTAGTGTGAAATTCAGCAGTGCTGCACATCGATGACCACTTGAGAGATCGGGACAGGCCCATGCATATCTTGGGACACAAGGGACGCTTATTTCTTAATATATTTAGTATAAAATTAGTTAGTGAGATAAGTAATTAATTATAGCTTTATTCTGAACAATTCGTGTATACATAGTACAGAACTTTCAGCATGTTTTTTTATCTGCTCCATACTCAGAATCTTCAAGTAAAATAGTAATCCATAGTATCTGATTCGACGGAATACTGTGCAGTCTGAAGCATGCCACAAGCCCTAACTATTTCGCCTCCTCAAAACAAACCAACAGGTGTAGTGGAAGTTATTAAAAATGCATGTAAGTGCATAATTTTCTTCAACAACTAAGTAAAATGACTGAAACAAAGCGAAATCAACTAAAATTGATGAATTACACTCAGTGAGAAATTAGTTAGCTCAGCGACCTATGCAGGCTGCCAGGGAATGAAAGTTGCAGGATGAATACTTTAGATTTCTGCATACATACCAAAGAAATATTGTACTACCAGTGGACATCAGCCCTCCGACGAAAACAGAAATCCTGAAGACCATAGAGATGCTAAAAACTATAAAAGCAGCAGAACCAGGCAGAATCCCAACGGAAGCGTTGAAAATGGACCCAGAGACATCATCCAACTTGATGACACCACTACTAGAGAAGGGGTGGAAAGAGGGCAAGGTACCCAAGGATTGGAAGAAAGAGTACTTATTCAAACTGCCAAAGGAAGGAGACTTAAGTCAATGCAAGAACTGGCGCGACATAATGCTCCTGTCTATCCCAAGCTAAATACTAAGCCGTATCATCCTGGAGAGAATCAAACATGCCCTGGATGAAAAACTTCGACCGGAACAGACTAGATTCAGGAGGGACAAATCATGCATCGATCAAATTGCAACACTACGGATCATTATTGAACAGAGCTTGGAATGGCAGTCACTTCTCTGTCTCAGCTCCATTGACTTTCAAAAGGCTTTCAACAGCGTCGATCGAGAGGTGATTTGGAAACTACTTTGCTACTACGGAGTGACGCCAACAATTATGCACCACATACAACAGCTGTACGACAGCGCTGCGTGCCAAGTAATCCACAACAGGAAACTCACGGAATCCTTTGAAGTAAAGACGGGAGTAAGACAAGGCTGGCTGCCTACTATCTACATTGATTTTCCTGATTGAGGCAGACTGGGTAATGCGACAGACAGACAACGAGCAACGAGGAAACAGGCATAAAATGGACCCACACAAAAAACTTGGAGGATATGGACTTCATCGACGATATGTGTCTGATTTCCCACAAACTGGAAGATATGCAAGTGAAAAGCAACAAGTTGGTAGAAGAAGCATCAAAGATAGGCCTTCAGATAAATATGGAGAAAAAAGGGGTGATGAAGATTCCTGGCCAACAGCAACATCAATAGACAACAATCAGCATAAATGAAAGAAAATTAAAAGAAGCAATCTCCTTCACCTACAGACCTGGGAAGCATCGTTTCAACTAGAGGAGGACGGAACTGATGGGGATATCAAGGCGAGGATCGGGAATGGAAGGTAAGTTTTCATTCCTCTCAAATTTGTGTGGAGATCGACAGCAGTCAGCATGACAAATAAGATTCGGATTTTCAATGTGAAGTCAGTGCTACTATACGGATCAGAGACTTGGCACCGCGCCGCCTCACGAAGGCTACTTCGAACAAACTACAGGCTTTCATCAACAACTGTCTTCGCTCGATACTAAAGATCAGATGGCCAGAAAAGATCAGCAACACGGGGATCTCTGGGAGCGAACCAACCAGGAACCGACTGTGCAACAGATATGCAGGAAGAAATAGAGGTGGATTGGCCATACTCTGAGAAAACCATCAAGTGACATCACATGCCAGGCCATCGCTCGAGTGGAACCTAAACGGGAAGCGACAGATTGGTCGTCCAAGGGTGACATGGAGGAGGTTATGTGAAGAGGAGATGAAAGCGTGTAGGCAGACTTGGAGCCAGGTGAAGACTCTAGCAGAGAACCGAACGCAATGAAGACGTGCAGTTGAAGCCCTATGTTCCTCTAGGAACTAAAGGAATCAAATAATAATAAAATAACTGTGCTGAGGGAAACTTCCCGTAAAATGATATCTCACAAAGTTTATTCTGAGTGCATTAGACCACCCCAATTTTTTTCAGTATTAATAACATACAATCCTTCCCATTAATAAATTTGAATAAAGCAAGAGCGACAAATGTACCAGGATAATCTAAGCTCATGTTTTTATTTCTATTATTTCGTGGATTCTCCTTAACTGGTCACAACCTGAACAATACCGAAATAGTGTATTCAATTAAAGATGTCAGCATACTTTTTACAATGACAATGAGTAACTGATTGGAACTGAGAGTAACACTGGTCAGGAATAATGTAATTTGTTGAATAATTAAGAGTGAAAAGGATCGACTACTTATAGAAGAATTGCATGACTAAGCTTGGAAACAAAAGGTTAGAGTCCAACAAATGTTTTGTGTGCAAAAATAAAGTTTAACTAGAAAGAGTATAAAAGGTAATGGGTTAAGTATTCAGTTTCTGATGTGATTGAATACATGCCAGTTACTCATATAGCCGCACTTATATCTGGAGTTCATCTCTGTGGTCTCTGCAGTTCAGTGGTAGGATGCCTGTTAACCATGTGGATGGTCCGCGTTCGGTTTCCAACCGACTCTCTCTTTGCCCTCGTCCAGCTCTCTAGGTGTTAGTATGCCCGGAAAAACCGAAAAAAGGTTAAATGAAACCGGCAGTCTCAAACTTCAAACTTTGAAACACTATTTTCCACTTGGTACAAAAAACAGTGAGGAAAACGCGTATTAGGAGTTCCCTCATGTTTATCACAGGATAAGTGATATTGGCGAAAATTCAATCTATGGAATCAAAAAGAAAAACTTTACCGGTAAATTTCCTTGCAACTTAACATGTTAAGGAGTGAAGGCACTGATTGAAGATTATATAAAAATTTAAGTGGAAAATCTAACATCGACTTGAGAAAAACCATAAGGTAATAAAGAGTAAAGTGACATAGTTGAAATTTAATAAAATGCAAGTTTCAGAATTTCAAAATTTCCTTCTTGTAAGTGCATACTTTTCCTGACATACTGTCAATACTACATTAACGACACATACGGAGACAAAATTCTCCTGTGTATTTTCAGACACAAGGAAATTTCTTAAGGCTTAAAGAATCATTATTTGATCTGACAAACAACGGGGAAAGCAGTCTTTCGGGTGTGTTCCACTAAAGCCAAACCAAACTCTGAAAACTGAATTGCATCTAAACAATTTGAGTATTAGTGGTAAGTACTCACACACCACTGACGAAAACCAGTGGTTAAATTTGACTGGTGAGCCAGATGTCTGCTATTCTTAGCACCGCTTCGAGCACACCACACGTTCTTAGCGCTTGTCTCTTGACGTAAAACAACATTTTTGGGGAATTGAGTGGTTTCTTCCTGATTAATTTATCTCCGTAAAGGGAAACTCTTAACAGCCCGTTAAATGCTTCCTAACCAATGGGGCTACCGGCAAAATGTGTAGAACTTGATGAACTTACTAAGGGAGAAATTCTAAAACCACAGTCATGGGGTTGTTCTAGCAAGCATAGGTTTCTCCTTCAAATAGCAAGTTGTCTAGATGTTTAATGGAACTGTTACTTATAGTTATCTATGGTTCTGTGCTGTCATTGACTTCGAACCTACTGTGAGTGCTATAAGGCGAACTTCAGGAGCTATACAGAAACTTTGGGGTAGTTGCATGTAAGTGTCCCACTTTAAACAATGTGGCAGAAGATTTCTTCCCAAAGAAATTTAAGCAATGGAGCAGAAGGGTGTAAAGAAGATGAAAACTACAGATTGATCGAAAATGCAACTTTATAGAGCAAATGGTGGTAAATGAGCCAACATTTATAATGGAGGGCAATGTTAGAACATGAAGCGCTAGCGCGATAAAGTGACTTATCGCAAACAAAATAATAGCATAGATGACAGTATAAAACCAAAGTAAAAAGCATGCAAAGCATTCAGTGAAATATTTTGCATTTTTTTATTGTTAGGAGCTGTTTATTCTAAAGGACTTTCATCGGACGAGAAGCTCTCACAAATATTGGCTCAGATACACTAGGCGATACCAAAAGCTTCAAATTAGTCAGATGAGTAACATGTAACTTCATTTCACTGAGATCTGCTTAACTTACTGTGAAAATTTAATGAATTATAAATGTATACGATTTGCTACTTTAAATGTTTGCACTTTTGTTACTACTGTATATAAATCATATTGAATGAGTTAAACAATGTAAATATTCACTGAACAAGGAAAGCCTAGAAGTATCTAAACTTGTTTATTCGTACTGAAAGTAATCTACATTTCGTTACCTAGAATTAACCAATAAACCAGACGCTGTGAAAACACATGTACTGTTGAATTTCTTTCTTAAGGGAGTTATCTTTGGAACACATA